TAAAGGGGCAACGAGCCGCGGCATTCTGATACACCTTGGAGGTCCTCCAACAAGCACACAGACAAGATCGAGCCGAAACGTTTTCGATTGCGTGCAGAACTCAACGTTTTGATGTTTGCCCTAGCTGCGCGGAGAAAACCAGAAGAGAGAGAGGGCGGACCAGGGTGGACTGTTGGACTGTGGGTTGTCCATGCGCAGACAAAGCCACATCTGCCAAACACCCCAAATGTGCAAAACCGAAATAGAACTTGAAGACGAACCAAACATCGAACCAAACATGAAGCTTGGCTTCTTGCGCCAGCTTCCGCTGCAGGTTCGCATCCGATACCGCCATCGAGCCTGCCACGATGATTTAGTGTCCAACTCATATTGCATTTACTATAGCGAGCAAAGTAAGCGCGTGAGATGCAACATAAGTTTGGGCTTTCCATGGCTTTTCCCATTCCTACTCCTAATACCCATAGCACGCTCCACCCCCCCGGTCCATGCCTCCCCCGCCTCCCTCCCTGTCAAATGAATATCGCGCTCCTGCCGCGTGTCCACGGTTTCTGATGCGCAGTTTCTGATCCGGCTTCTGAATCGCGCTAGTTAGCTAGCTTCTGACTCGCAGTCTCTGATTCTCGGCTAGTTTCTGATTCGGCCAAGGTCCGATATTTTGGTTCCCTCTCATCTCCCTCTCTCCCCCTCTTTCCCCCCCCCCCCGCCCTCTCCCTCCCTCTCCCTCCCGCTCCCTCCCGCTCCCTCCCGCTCCCTCCCGCTCCCTCCCGCTCCCTCTCCTCTCTCTGGCTCGCTTGCTCGCTCACGTCCTGCTCTTTTTTCTTCAACCTCACCCTTCTCCCTTCCCGTCTCTTGTCGTCTCTGCTCTCCTGTCGTCCTTGGAGAGATGATGCCTCTCTGCACACACCTCCATTCTCTTTCCTGTTCTGGTTTCTGCATTTGTGGCTTCAACTGAGCCGAGGTCGCCAAGGCTTGTGGTGGATGTAGACGTCCCAATAGACCATGCAGTGGAGTCGATAGAGGCCGGCATCACAGTCTGACGGTTCCGTGGCGGGGAAGTCGTGGAGGTTTTGCTTGCAGGGTGCCCTGGATGATGGGGTTTGGACTCTATGATATACTGGGCTTGGCTGTGGGGTGAGAGGTGGATTCTATTTATTTGTCTGGATGTCAGCGCACACGATTCGAGGCTCATTATTTGGGGATGGTACTGATACTGTTTTTGGAGCAAGCCTCGACCTCACACAGCATTAACGCACCTTTGGAATCTGTGTGCTGGTCTCGGCATGCGATGGACAACACTAGGGGGTAGGGTGACTTGGAGAACGAACAAGATGGGCGCAGGGTAAACACACACCCAACGATCGATCCTTTGGGACACCACCCCTCAACTCAAAATCAGCATCCCCACATGCCCTGCAAGCTGAGCTTTGAAACACCTGCAGAAATTTAGGGCTTGGTCTTAAGGATCGTAGAATCCAAGGACAGTCGGAATGCGCTATATCACATGCATGCAGTGCAAAGCAGTGGCTCCTGCAGTTGAGGCCTAACATGAGCCTTTTTTCAACAGACTGGGAGACAACTCTCCGGGTCCAAGTCAAGCACGAAACTGCTAGGCTCGCCTTCGTGGTGGCAGAAAGCTGATCCGTGTGGCCTCAACAGGGGCACTTCGGGGATTCAGGAGGGCGAGATGATCGGGAGGGTGCCCGATCATGTGGGGCCAAACGCTGCAGAGCGCGGTGTGCGCTGCATGGGAAACACAACGCAGGACGAACCTTGATTCACGATGTCACACCACTGGCCAGATTTTTGATGGAAAGCCGGCATCTTGCAACAAGCACGCGCTTCCCACGCTAAACATACGGACAATGCCAAAAGGCCCCTGAACATACGTGACGGCAGACAACATCAGACAACCCAAAGTGTTGTAGGGCCAAGCACCGATGAAACTCGTTTGTCAGAAACGATGGCAGCACCAACAAACCCAGCATACTTTAGCAAGATACCTTAAGGCAGCATAGCAATCGGCACAAACAGGGACGCTTGCGCTGGCTCTTACTTAGGATTCCATGCCACGTCAAGTTCATCTTTCCCTGCATATGGTCAGCTCCAAAGCCTGACCAACACAGCTTACACCTTGTGTCCCTGCGAAGCCTGGCGGCCCACGTGGCATCCACCCAGCCTGACCCATGGCACTCTTCGGGCTATCCGAGGCGGGCCCTCGATCTTCATTGCCAACCCTCAGCCCTAGACCGTGATCCAAAACAGGTCTTGCAAAGCTCATCATCTAAGAGTTACCACGACCACCCATACCACCACCACTACCTGCCAGTGCGACTGCTGCTGCACCAGCCAATATCACTGCAGCTACTAGACGACGATGACTACCACGACCACTACCACTTCTGTCACCACTACCACAACTGCACGACTCCGCAACCAAACTTTGAATCAACCTCAACTGCCTGAGCACGGCCTTTGCTAGAACCGTACTGTGTCCCTGCCTGCATCCGGCTCAGTGGCATGTCTGGCCGCGACATGTCCTTCACGCAGCTGTTCTACTTAGAGTGTTGAATCGAAAGCCCAAATTTGAACCCATGATGAAACCTTCAGGCCAAAGATCAACACCTGATTTACACTCGCTGGTCTGGCAAAGGCTTCCTGGAGACAGTGTGCACGTGGCCCCGTTCGTGCAGCGTGCCCTTCCTATCCTGACAGAGCAGGCTTACCAGAAAATGCCAACTTGAACAAGTCTCCACACCCTTTCCTCACTGACTCTTTGAGCACGTGCAGCCTAGTGCAGCCTGCCGTTCCCGAGTTACCATAGCTGTCACACCTCCTGCCCCTCCTGATCCAAAGAATGACACCTCAAGAAACTGGAAACGTGAAGGCTGAACTTGAGCTGCATACAGCCCCCCCCCCCCCCCAAAGTCCCCTAAGTAGTTAAACTGGCCTCTGTTCTTGTGCGCGAAGCACTTGCCTTCGAACCTCTGGCAAACGGAGCTCGCCCTTGAAACTGCCTAAAGCCCAGGCTATGTCCGAAAAAACGTGAAAAACCCCAGCTTCCCATCTGCCAACCTCTGCCTTCAAGGGCAGAATGGCCAGCGCCGGAAGCTCGGAAGTCTTAGGATCTTAGGTCTTAGGCGTCCGTGGTCTCCTGTGGCTTCAGGCGGGTAAAGAGGGGCCTGGAACATAGAAGCTGCAGGGATGGGAATCTGGCATCTCTGTGCTGTGCCGCATGTCGTAGCCTAGCTTGCTCACCTGACTGGCTTTCGGACGGTTGCACGTTCTGAGCAACCTTGAGCCAATAACTGAGATTTTGCGGTCTGATCTGCACATGAGCAATGGCCTGTCTTCGAAGTTCGGAAAAGGGGCCGAGAGCCGCTTGGGGGGGGGGGGGGGGTTTGGGTGGGATGCTTGTTTTGTGGTGCAGAATAGTGCTGGAAGGCCTCAAGGCCTGGAAAGCTTTGGTGCTGCAAACGTGCTACGCGGAAGAGCGCTCCGGGGGCCGGAGTGCCTTTTTTAAAGGGTGTAAGTGTTGTAGTACAACATCTGGAGAGAGGGAGCGGTACCGAGACAGCGGCAAATATCATGTAGTGGAAGTCAATGCAAACTCTCGCATACACCGTGGTGACGGAACCCGCACAGTTGCAAGACCCTCGCAATCAAATTCAAACTCCTTGATGCATACAATCCTCGCCAAGTTGTGGTGAACAGTGAGACGGACAGGCTAAACCCCAACCACCCACCTTGAAAGTCGGCAAGCAAGGGGGACCCAACTAACCATGGTCTTGGGGAACACAACATCGACCTCGGTCGATTGAACGAACCGAAGAAAGTCCTGACAGGACGGCTCCAACCCCAAACCAAGGACATGAATTGCTAACCTGCAAACCCTAAGCTGCTAATCGGCTTATGGCAGTGAACAGCTACCATTTGTCAAGACTACGTGGGCTTGTCAGAGAGCTGTAGAGTGCGTGTTTCTGGGCTAGGGGCGCTTGACTTGAAGCTTAGAGTTTCTGCGATTCGGGGGCGTATGCACCGCAGCCCCAAGGTCTCAACTGCCTTTTAGACGCCGCCCAGGTACAGTAAGGTCAAACTATGGCAATATGAAGAAACACGAGTGCAGACTAATCCACTTCCAAGTGCCAGGGACTTCGGCTTGTGCAGTTTTCATGCAATGCATCAGTTTCGTAAGCCCCCAGCACTGAAGCCCATACCGCTAAAAAGCACAACACGCCGTTGCGAGCACATTGCTTCCATGGCTTTAGGCTCTGAAGCCTGACTCTGCGCATCAACGGCCCCAATGTATGGTTTCTGGGAGTTTTTATCTATCTGTCCTATAGCCACACCACTCAAATCCAAACACAGCTCAAAAAAATCCATGGTGAGAGCAGGATGCATTTCGCAGAAGCTGACAGCGGAATGCTCAGTTTCTAAGCTCATTTCAGGGCCGCCTCGACCGCCGCATAGTGAGGAACCTTGTGATGACTCGGGGCAGTGGAACACCGAGCAACAGATTACTGGGTTGTTCTGTGCAGTTATACATTCGGCCACGCTTGCTTGTTTGGGGTACAGGGAGCGCCCCTGTGCCTGACAGAAATGTTGCGGCACCAGTTTTGAGAAGAGCTTTGCTTCGGCGCCAGCATGCACATTGAAGGTTGAAGGCAATCTTGCACGGGAAGTTGCAAATAGCCATACTTACAAACTATGCTGGCATCCGCCCAGCTCGGGAAGAAGCACCCGAACGGTAAGAGGGGGCCGGTTCAGACCGACGTGCGACTTGACTTGCCTCAAACATACTTCCTGAAAGACGCCTTTTGCAGCTGCTCCTTGACACAGAGGCCCCTCAGCGTCAAAACTTGCGTGTTACGCACATTCGCATATTCTCGGATTCTCAACGAACTTGTGGACTCCAAGCCGAAAGCATGCCTGAACTCCAAACCCAAGCTGAAAGGCCTCGCCAAAGCGGGGCCATCCCAAAAACCCTCGCGAAAAACGCCCAATCATCTTTTCAGACCCGGCATGCTCGACCGGGCGACCGAGTGGACGTCGCCGTAGGCCGCCAAGGACAGCTTCGAGCCAAGGATCTTCTTCGCGGCGGCAGTGACCTGGCTTTGCTGGCATGCCAAACCTTTGTTGGAAACGGTTGTCTTCAGATGCGTTTGGTCGGGCGTGATGCCCATCCCCAACCCAAAGACGGGCGGGATGGGGAGGCGGGGAAGGGGGCCTGGCGGGACCTCAAGCAAGCCCGAAACCCCAAGCCCGAAACCCCAAGCCCTAACTATCCCTATCTCCAATCCCCAAATATCTAGACCTTGCAGTCATTGTATTCGTACATGATGTTCGTATTTGCACAGGTTTGCTCTCCAAAGACACCTCGCATCCGTCGGTCAATGTATACACGTACATGCATATACGCAGGACCAGGATGGCATGATAGTCGGTTGGTTGGGGCACATACAGCGGAAGCCTCCCAACCACGTCTGGCATTTGTTCAGCACTATTACGAGTATTTACACAGGCCAAACGATGAAATCACCAGATGCTTGGCACTTTCAATTCAGCCTTCAGTGTCCATAGGCTGCTGTCCCCTGAGTTCAAGTTCAATCCCACAAGCTTCATTCCTGTGTAGCTGCTGAGCGCAGTGGGTAAACAAGAGCAAAGCAAGAGGTGCCATCCTTTTTGTGCCCTTGTCACGCCTCGACAGAAGCAGCACAGCACGCTTTGGGCGAGCGAGCTCGTGTCCAGCTTCAGTGCAAGCTTCAGCGGAAGCTTCGGCGGCATTGAAGTTTTCGATGCTCGTCATGCTCGACATGCTCGCAGCCTTCCGCTTCAGGAAACTCGCAATTCCTTCCCGCCGAACACTTTCGGCGAGCTGTGCGGCCGTTACTCCGTCCTTCTTGCAAGCCATGTCAGCTCCAGCGTCGGCCAGGAGCTTTACAATCTTGAGCTGTCTTGCTTCGTCTTGTTTTTGGTGCCCACTCGCACAAGCAGCATGAAGAGGCGTCGCTCCAGCCGAGTTAGCGCAGTCAACATCGGCACGAGCTACGATTAGCAGCTTCACCTGGTCTATCGCACCCATCCTGCACGCCAGGTGCAGAGATGATTCCCCAAATTCTGCTTCGCCTCTGTCGACATCAGCACGCCTGTTGATCAACAGCTGCATGTGTTCTAAGGCATTTCTTTGGCAGGCCATGTACAAGGGTTGTGGTTCAATAGAAGTACCTGGAGAGTTGGGATTTGCCCTTGCATCGAGCAAGGTTTCGAGCAGGGGGACCGTGTAGTGCTGCACAGCCAAGAACGCAGAGGTCAAACCCTTGCCACCACCCTTGTTCGGATCTGCGTGTGCCTTGAGCAGTACTTCTACAGCACCCTTGTTGCCCTCGATGATAGCATTGTGGAGTGGCGTCCGATCGTTCAGATTTACCAGGTTGACATCAGCCCGGGCGTGAATCAAAGCATGCAAGATCCCATTGCAGCTAGTACTGGTCCTCCTGTCACAGGCGTGATGCAAAGCTGCGCCAGATGATTCTCGCGCTGCAAACGTGCCTTTGTCGCCTTTGTGGGAAAAGAATGGGTGTCCGACCAGTCCTGTCTCAACCCTATTGAGGTCCGCACTCGCTTCAATCAACATCTGCACTGCAGTGAGGCTTTGCCAAAAAATGGCCGTGCGCAATGCGGACTGGTGCCTGGGGCAGGTGTGATTTGGATCCATCGGCGATTGCAGCAGGACCTCCATGGTTGCAAGGTCATTACCCTGAATGGCTTCCTCAAGCTGTCCTTGCAGCCCGCAGGTGGCCTCTGCATCAAACATCACTTTGACCAGGTGCAGGCGACAGGGCAACTTCAGCTCGGTGCCATCGGGTAACTCAACACCCTCAGGACTGAGAAGCCTCTGGCAGAATCTTGTCACCCCAAGAACCGCCTGCAAGTGGTTTTTGACTGACCGAATGGAATCTCCGTGTTCGGAAACCAGTTTGCTGAGCTCATCCTGTGTCAAGCTTGCCAACTCGTCACCAGACACGGAAACGACAGTCAGCATGGCAGCGGCGAAGTTTGATCAACCCCATCGCGCGTTCTACTTCAAAGGTGCGCTTGCTGCGGCTTCAATATGAGCAGGAGTAGCGGCAGGTCCCCACTGTTCTCTACACAAAGACTGGCGTCAAACATAAGCCATGCAAACCATAAATACAAAACTCTGCAAGTCCAAACCGTGAAGACCGAACAAACTGGATGCGGCTAAAGCTGAACAAGAATTCTGCCCACACTTGCCTCGGCTTCGCTCACGCCGTCGATGATTTTGCCGAACTCTGCTGCCGACCCATACCTCGGCTTCTTAGCATTGCAGTGTCCAGCGTGTTGGGTTAACAGTTTAGCCGTTGAGACTGTGCTTTTACAAGCAACCACGCGACAATTCACAGCCGCGCATGAGGATTCATATGTCGTTTCGGTGATTCATTCTTGTGACGCTGCAGGATCGGATGCTGCAGTTGAGGGCTCGCCTTTTCCCCGCCACCCCCCCCCCCCACCCCAAATTGCAAGTTCTTAAGTTCGGTCCGTCCGGAAACTATGTTTACAAAGTTAGGGGGTTTCACCCATAGGTCTCAAGCAGTTCTACTACTGGGCTGGGTTTGGCGGGCAGCTTGCAATGACAACAGGGTTTGGGATCAGGCAGGGGTCATGGCACAGATGACATGTTCGGTTTGACCTGATCTCACCGTCTCGGTAGCTTCTACACCCTACGTACCGCGTTCGATCCGTTGGCATCGCGCAAAGCGTCCGCAGCAGCGCCGCATCGCACACAGCCCCGGCACACGTCAGCTTGACAATGCCTGTCGGAACCACCCTAAACCCTAAACCCCAAACCCCAAACCCCAAACCCAAACCCTAAACCCTAAACCGGATCCAGAGCCCTGCTGATTCAGCAGCTCTGTTGATTTTTGCCCAGGCCAGCCGTTCAAAGTGGGCCAAGCAGAGGTGGCAACGGCAACGACAGGACAGCAACAGCCAAGGCCACACGAGCGCGAAGCGACGGTGCCCGAGAAGAAGCTCAAGGGCTCAAGGGCTCAAGCGCGGGAATTGCAGCCCAAGACATGGCCCGAACCTTGTGAAGCGTAAGCCCCCATACGAGTCAAGGGGAATGCAGGGCCTCCTTTTGGCGACCAGAGTCCAACAACACAATCACTGACAGATCGTTAAACCCTAAACCCTAAACCCTAAACCCAGAACCTCGTAACGTAGTAGAACTTCGTATCAAGAACCCTCGAAGCTGCGGCCCGGGCTTGCCCGTCAGGAGGAGCTGCTGGCCCATGTCCTGCAGCAGAGAGGAGGGTCTGAGTGTGTCTGCGTCCGGGCCTTTTGGAGGCTGAACGGCTTTTGCGATCCACATCCGGAGTTCTTGAGGGCTTGAGCGGCTGAATGCTTCGCAGGGGCTTAAGGTGGAGTGACTCTAGTGATTCACTTGCTTCGGCGAATGACAAGCGAATACGCGGTTGTCGGGCGCAAGGTTGTGAGCTGTCACCATGTGGCGAAAACGGTGCTTTAAAGTGGACTCTTCTGTAGCATTGGTCATGAACTTCCTCGGCTTCCTGGCACAGCTGCACAGAATTCAGGGCGCGGGGCATAGAGTTCCTGCCTCTCTCTTGGGTTTGCAGCTGGGAATCGCAATGGCGCCACTCGGGGAACCCATGGTCCCATGGTCCATTGACTCCCCGGTCTTAAGCCGCTGCAACAGATTTCCGTGTGTACCATCCCACGAATAACAGGAGGTTTAACCACGTTTAAGAAGCTTACACCTTCTAAGCCGTCTACAAGAGCCGCATCTGTCAAGCTTGGCGCCTGCATCAGCTCACTGTCGTTGTCTGCCTGTTCCGGGACGGCCGTGCAACCTAAAGCCCAGACCGCAATCTTGAAACCCCACACCTCTACCCCTGTCATAACGTTGGGCCGAGTCCTAGACTTCTGAAACCCATCCTCAACGCATCCTAAACTGCAGACATATAGTTTAGGGGCGTCTGGATGCTCTGGCCCTGTCGCGTTGCAGCCTACAAGGGCCTCCAGACCTCAAAGGGCGCAGAAACTCATCCACTGATTGTAAGGTGTCAGCAGGCTGCCACAAAGGCATCGGAAGTATGTGTATACGGAAGTGTATGGGTCTCTACCAGAAGAACAATCTCACATTACTATCCAGGAGCCCGGAATCTCAGTATCAACGTTTTTCGAGAGCACGCGGTCTCGCCTCACGCTTTAAGATGCTCCCTGTTTGGCTCTTTGGACTTGAGGTGCATGGCTTTTCCGCAATTGAACGACTCAGGTGATCTTTGGGTACGCGTGTAGCAAGCATTCTGACAGTCCTTGCACTCCAACACACACAAGCAATACGAGACGCCGCCCCCCCCCCCCCCCACCCCACCCCTACGTCTTGAACTTCAAGCCAGGCATCTAGACCCAACCCTATCCTTAAAGTTCTCTAACCTGATCCCAAAACCCTACAACCATTGGGGGGGTTTGGGGGGGGTGAAGAGTTCGAGGACCCTTCGATCCTAACTACCTAAAACGAAGGGGCCAGACCAAGAGAGACCGGTCCCGTCAGCGCAAAGTCTAAGCTTCACAGGACGCACAACTTGCAACACATTGTTCAGGGTTGTACGTGCTTCCTCCTGAATTATCACTTCTGTTTTCGACTTGGGTTCAGGACGTTTCTGAATGTTTCTCACTCAAGGCCTTTCTGTTTTCGGCTCATGCGAGGTGCTGTTCCTGACTTGAGCATCACTGACGCTGCCCCAAAGGACTGTGGGGACGAAGCCTGCCGGAACATCTTGCCCTTGAGAATCGCCTTGGCCTTTGCCAGCTCCTCCTGAGCATGGAGAAAGCGTGGAGAAAGCGTGGGGTTGTGAGGGTTCTGACAGATTCGGGGCCTCCGAAAAACTAGAAGTCGCTGGCCCCCCCCAAGCCTGGAGCCCTTGCACTCCCACCAGCCGACCCCCGTCCTTGCTCACGCTAGAGAGGCCCTTCAGTGCCGATGCCATGGCCATGGCCATGTCAGAGGCCTGGTCAGGAGAAGGAGAGCTTTGGGGGGAGCTGAGGCTCCAAACACATCTTCCAAGCCCTATGGACACCTTTGCAAGCATTCCTGTGTGTGAACCTTCGAAATCCCCCCCCCCCCAAACGCTGCGCAAAGCAAGCAAGCTCGCCGTGGAGACCTTTTCAAAAACTCTCCCGAAGCTGCTTTTACATCTGCCATCATCTGCCCAGAGCTTCGGGGCCTTCTCAGGCTGGCAGACACCGTAGACGCCGAAGAGGCCGGAGTCCGAGTACCTGAGGATGCTTTGCGTGAAAATATGGAAGAGCCTCACCCCTGCGAGCGCAAACATTCGGCAAATCTATGCTGCGGGCGGGGCGCAGGAGGGGAAGGTATTGTAGCAATAGTAGTACTAGGACTGGTACTCGGAATCCTCGCAACCATAATGAGCTGGAAAGAAGTCGTAGTGAATCATGATAAGCTAGCAGCAAGACTCAAACTGCAAATAGCAAATAGCAGCAAACAGCAAATAGCTAGGGTGTGCAGCGCGCTCACTCCCCAACGCCCCGCCCGCCCCCTTCCCCACCGCCCCTAAAACCCTAAAACCCTAAAACCCTAAACCCTAAAACCCGAAAACCCTAAAACCCTAAAACCCTAAAACCCTAAAACCCTAAAACCCTAAAACCCTAAAACCCTAAAACCCTAAAACCCTAAAACCCTAAAACCCTAAAACCCTAAAACCATAAAACCCTAAAACCCTAAAACCCTAAAACCCTAAAACCCTAAAACCCTAAAACCCTAAAACCCTAAAACCCTAAAACCCTAAAACCCTAAAACCCTAAAACCCTAAAACCCTAAAACCCTAAACCCTAAACCCAGAGCACACGGGAGCAAGAATGCCCCTTCTTCAGGGTTTCCGGCCTTCTGCTCTGGAGATCGCACAGCAACTGCCATAGCACTTTTCTGCCACTACCAAGAAATCGAAGCGCGCTGGCGTCTCGAAAATGAAAATGCACCAGGGTTTAGGGTTTAGGCGGTTTAGGGCTTAGGGTTTAGGGTTTAGGGTTTAGGGTTTCGGATTTAGGATTTAGGGTTTAGGGTTTAGGGTTCAGGGTTCAGGGTTTAGGGTTTAGGGTTTAGGCCGCCCACAAACCCCACGCAGAGAGCACGAGGTGTTGAAGGCTGCGCAGGACTCCACGTAGGGACTCTGCCTCAGCACCTGGCAGGTGTTGCAAGTTTGCCTGCAGATTACAGCCGCTGGCCCACGCGTAAGATGGCTGAAATAATCCAGCAGACGGGCTTCTCTGGGAGCGGAGCGGGAAGGAGAAGGAGGGGGAGAGACTTCACAGGTGGAGCTCAACTCGACTGCAGGATACCTGTGTGGAAAGAAGAAGGCGGAAGGAGGCCCGGGGAAGTGCAGGTCAAAAGGCACGCAGCCTCCCTCAACCCACTGCTTCGCACGAAGGCGCCTGCGTGGAAAGCCGCGAGGTCAGGCCGGAGCCGATGCCACTGTAGACGGCGGAGCCCCCGCCAAGCAGGGCCTCAAAGAAAACAAACCAAACCGGGGCTGGGAATGGCTTTGGGGCATGCTTGGGTGGCTTCTGCATGAACAGGACTGCAACTTCCCCAAGGTTGGGCCTGGACGAGGGCAACTGGAGCAAGCTCAGCCTGCCCAAAGGCTGTGGACTCGAACCTCAGTAAGGAGAGAATGTCCGCCGGCATCTTCCAAGCCGGCCCGGATTTGATAGGTACACTCTTGGCCTGTTTATTGGACTTTAAGCAGAGCGTGTTCCAGCTGAAGGTCGTGGCTAAACACTGCTACAAGACACTGCTCAACCCTGCCAGACCCTACTCTCTCCCACTGAAGGTGCACTCCCGACTTTGCCTCAAAGCCCCAAAGGCGTCCGAAACCCTCTTCAGCCTATTCCCAAACCCGTCCCCTGAGGCCGCGGCCCGAGTGCCAGGTGGCAGTAAGGCGAGGCTCCCTCCAATCGCATGTCACCACCAGTATACTGGGCCTGGTGTGGGAACCGGATGGGACATGGGAGCGTGAAGTAAAGGCTTTTCGCAGCTCAGGGCTTCAAGGTCTTTGGCAGCTTTGGCAGCTTTGGCAGCCTGCTCTGGTGCCTAATGGCTTGAGGCGTCAGGGGTCCCAGGAAAAGAGGCTATCCATTCTTCAGGACTTTGGGTAGTGATCTCGGCTTGGAACGACTCTCAGGCGGTCATGGTTTTGGCCTGCGGTTGTATGGAATGGGGAGTAGACGGGAAAATCGACACAAAGGCACAGCACCAATTAGCATGAAAAAGGCCCGAAGACAACAGACCAAGCCCCAACCCTTCCCCTAAGCCCTAAGCAAAAGGACAAGCCTCCGGTCTACGGCTGAGCTGAATCTGGGGTCTTGGGGTGCTGATGCTGCCCTGGCACTGCGAACCTTTGCCTACGAACTTCCCCCTGAGCCGGCCTGAGCCCTCAACTGGAAAACCTGAATAGACCATCCAGCACATCTACCATGGATACCCAACAAACACAGACCGCCAGTGGGAACCAGCCGTCGCCTTCTTCTCCTCGCGCTTCTTCAGGGGGATGGCATTGTAGTCTGCGAAAGAACCTCGGAGGGGATTCGGGGATTCCATGCAATGAACCCCCGTTTCTGTTGCCTGACAGCCAGGTCCCCCTTTCTACCCTTCAAGCAGGGTTTGAGTTTGACAGGTTCGCAGGCTTAAGCGGCTTAGGCTGGGAGCTGACAGCGGCTGACCCCCGAATGCAACGAAATACGGCATGCCGCACCCCATAGCACCCCCGCTGCACGAGCCCTGCACGCATCACCCACTTGGAGAGCTCGGAATGGGCAACGTTGACGCCCACAAAGACCATTCGCTCCTTAAGGGAAGCTTTTGGAAGATACCAAAAAAGTTCATGTTGGGTTTCGCCGTTTCCGTTAGACTCTAGACTGAGTCCCAATGCCATGAAAAGAAGGCCCAGTGCCTTCCGCAAGAGCAAGCCTAGGCCTACAGGACCTACCTCACTCCTACATCCTAAGCCTTGGAACCCATGACATCCGCCCAGCATCGGGTGCGAAGTGGTCTAGGAGGAAGCCGCGGATTGTCTCCGGAGTGAAGTAGCTCATGGACCTGGTGCAAGCACCCTTTGGTGCTGCAAGCGAAGTTCAGCAGATGGGCCGAAAGCGCGGCTTGAAGCAATGATTGAGCTTAACCGAAGCACCCCATCGACAAAACCGAGACACTAACCCATCCTCACGCCCGCCCGGTTGTTCGCCGAGCTGCCGTTCGCTTGCCAGCGTGCTAAGCCCCAGCGTGTTGTTGCAATAGGCAGCCTCCAGGCACATTCCGATGGGCTGACGAATTTTCAGTCCTTGACAGCTTTACAGTTGGCAGCCTCAGGCCTGCAAGGGATCTGGCTTATTCAGCATTTGCACCGGAGACGGGATTGCAAAAGTGTTCTCCGTTGTTTGCTGCAGGCATCCGAACCTTGCGGCAACAACGGCAAACCGATGCCTTGTGGAGCAGCTCACTGACCATGGTGTCAGGATCCTTGACCAGAGCCTGAGGGCTTGGGAGTTTCAAAGGGCTCGGAAATCAGAGCTTCACTGGATCGGGATCCTGGGCACAGCTTCCACTATCTTGGACGGTGGATGGTGGCTGCGTGCAAGGGAAGAAGCTGACTCTGTGTGTGTGTGTGTGTGTGCGCGAGCGCGACATGATTCTTTTGTGCCTACAAAGATGTATTCCTACATGCGACTGCGAAGGTCAGCTTTGAGTTGTACCGATGCTGGGGAACAGTGGCTCCAGTCACAAGCCTTGCCCAACGAAGCAAGTCACTGGATCATGCAATATGATGATCATCTTGTGACATTCTGGAAAGAATAGGTGTGTTAGGCCCCCCTGTCCATGACGTGATTTGATTCATCATCACCCTCATCTACAACATCTAGCATCACCTGGCAAGTTCCTGCAGGTTTCCAATCGGTCACGTACGGTTTTGTCCAGCTCGGCTGTTTCACAGGTTTAGTTTTATCCTTCACAAAGCCACTACATAGCAATCACAACCAAGCTTTCTTGGAATGGCACACCCCCCCCCCCCCCCATCAAGGTAACCCTGTTGGGGCTGAAGTACGAGACCTACACTGGCCACAGCACAGCCTCCCCAAACCTGGAGGACATCTCCGGATCCGTGAGCCGTCTTGAACCCTCTTAGCGCCCGCCTCGCACTCTGTTTGAACACTCTTGGGCGACGCCCGAGTGGACCCACCGGGCCTCCTTGGCGGTGGGCACGTCAGACTGCGCGGCCTTCACCTCCCATGGCCTTGGCTTTCTCTTGGGGAGTCGATGACGTAAGGAGGTGCAAGCCCCAACACCTCTGTAGGATTGCTGGCGCATGTCGGGTTTGGAACAGAGCTCGTTGTAACTTTTTTTTAAAATTCAACCTCTTGACATGCTCCAGAAGCCACGAAATCGCAAGGTGCTAGGACCACGTCAGCGAATCCCAACGCGATCGCAGGACACTCGCTCAACTTCAAACAAGCACGTCACGTGCTGGGGACTTTTGCATGCGGAAGGCAGTTTGCGGCACCATCCTTTTCGTCAACTTCAAGTCAGACAACCTCTTCGAAAGGTCCAGAAAGCAGGAATACAATGCCCCGTCTGAAAGCGCAAGCCAGAGTAAGACTACGCGCAAGCAGGCAGACCAATCCTAAACCCTCCACCCGAAGGGCTGACGAGTAAGTTGAGTTCGCAAGTCTGCTTCTTTTCTGACTTAGTTTAAGTTCCCCGACTCGACTGCCGCCCGAAGACCGAAAGATCCAGCTAGCACCACAAAAAAAATACCAAACGCAAAACGCAGCTTAGGGGCAGCAATCGTGGGAAGAGCACGTTGCCGACCAGGAGGGGCACAGCAAGCGGCATGTACTCGCGCTGCAGCTCCACCTCGCGACGTTGCTGGCACTTGCAGGCTTAGACTGTGGAGGATGTGTTTGGGGGTACAGGCACGTGGAGGTATGGCACCACCTCCCGCCTGCAATGACAATCAATGACAAAGAAAGCCCAACTCCGAAAAGCGAAAAGTCCACTGAGATGTTGTTGTTGGAACTGTGGATTTTGCAGGATTTTTGGCTTTTGTGCCACTGGAATTTTGCGCTCGTGTTTTTTGTTTTTGAGGGGAAGCGAGGGGGGGGCAGGGGGAGGGGGAGGGGCAGAGGCTGGGGGGGGGAGGGGGGAGGGGAACGGGGGGGGGGGGGGGACGAGAGGGGTGGGGATGGGGAGGAGGTGAAGACGACACGACGACACGGTTCTTCTGACCCGAGCGCCAGCATCGCGACAAGACGCCCCACACGCCAGCGTCGCGACATGCCGGGAACACACCGAGAGGGTTGTTCGCACCTCTAAAACTTCGAAGACGCAGCATCGTGAACAAGAAAGAAGCCGGAATTCTGGACCTTCAAAGGACAGACACCCCAACTTTGTTACGGCATGTTTTGGTGCTGCGCCAGCATCACGACACGCCGGGATCACAGATAGGGCTGTCCCTTGCGCCCCAAAATTTCAACGACGCTCCATGCGCCTGCGTCACGACGCGCCACGAACACTGAGAGCTTCTCGGTTCTGCTTTGTGCCCCAAAATTTCGAGGATGCTCCACGCGCCAGCGTCGCGACATGCGGCGAAAACCATGCCAGGAACACCGAGAGGGGTGTCCCAAATTTCTGGGACGCTCCCCGCGCCAACATCACGACAAGCCGGGAACACCGAGAGGGTTGTCGCTTGCGCCCTAAATTTCGTATGCTCCACGCGCCACCATCGCGACGCACCGCGAACACCGAGCGGGCTGTCGTTCGCGCCTACAATTTTCTTCGAGTGCGCTCCACGCCAGCGCAATTTAATTTTGAGGACGTGCGGCGCTTGGAACAGATTAACATTGCCAACATACAACGAAATCCCTCACGCCATCCATCACGACATCCATCACGACATCCATCCATGCATCAACGAAACAAAAAACTTGTCGAAGACCACCTTGGCTGAAAAACCCTCGCCACGCTTCGGGAAAAACAAGAGTCCAACCTCAAACCGAGATCTCTCCGAAACTTTGGAGCTGCATGTGAGTCCAGCCTCAACGAAACCGAGATCTCTCCGAAAGTTTTGAGCTGCATATTTGTGATTTGGGGATTGCAGCCTTTTCCTGTCGTGAAAGCCTCCTCGTGAAAGCCCCCTCCTGCCTCTCCAACAAAACACGACAATGCCTCCAAAAACAGCGCACTTGCAACCGTCCGTGCCGCGAGCAATGGGCCCTCCTTCAAACACTTCACAAACTAGGTAGGCCCGCCTCTCAAACCGATTTCACTGGTGGACAACAGTCCCCCAACATCGATTCAAGGAACACCAAGCCTCCCCAGAATTCTCCAGCGAAATTTGTTGGATGTTGGGCGCTTTCGTGGAATGTGCATTTGCGATTCGACGACCAGATCCGAGCATGGCTCCTCATTTGCTCCCCATTTGCTTCTAAGATTACCTCACTCGCAAAATGCCCCTGCAGAATACACAGGCAAGCTCAGGCTTCAGAACAGCCTTCTTTGGTACAAACGGACACCTTCACTGGCCCTGCCACCGAAGCTTGAAGCCGAAACCCTTGAGCCGAATCTCCGAATCTCCAGCCCACACTGGCAAAAAAACCCTAAACCCTAAACCCTAAACCCGAAACCCTAAACCCTAAACCCTAAACCCTAAAACCGTCTCTTGAGAGAACTGAAGCAGCGGCCTGGTAGGCGATCTCCTCGCGGCCAGCAGTGGCCGAGGAGCTGAGGTGGGCGCCGAGCTGCTCCAGGGTCTTCACCGTCCTCAAAACTCTCCAGGGCGCTGACAATTAGGGTGGACTTAGGGTGGACTTAGGGTGGACTTTGGGTGGATCATTGCCTGGGTTTCCAAAGCTCAAACCTTCTGTGACACTCTTCTTGCCGCCTTCGGCCTTGAACCCAACAAAGCCCCCGCGGACCATCCTTGAGCGCCAAACTCTCAAACCCCCATCCCATGCGGCCGAATCGCCTCAGGTGGCTCAAGTGCGCAGTGGAGCGGAAGCCCATGAGGGCAGCCATATGCGCCACACCCAAGTTGCCTGCAGCTAGAGGGGTGTTGGGTCGAAGATCACGTTGGCTGGGTCACTTCCACACCCTTTGCGTACAGTATGACAAAAATTAATACTTCGGGGACAGGCATTGCGAGCTGGTCCGACGCCAAGGCTTCACAAGCCGAAGCTCCAGAGAAAGGGTCTCAGACTGGCCAAAGAGTCTAAGAGACACTCTCCCCAAAGATCCTGAGGCCTTACTTTGCAATCGCGCAACCAACTGCTGCACAGGAAACTGTGTTTCAGCGTAGAAGGTTGAAAAGAACCACACGTTCCGGATCCCTTGCAAGCTAGCATGCGTGAGCAGGATCTGGTGGCGTATCGTCAGGGTTGTAGCTGCGGGTCTTGGGGTTATTTGGGTTTGCGTTCACACATCAGTGGCACGAAGAGCACCACAGCCCAAAATCTACGCCATTCTTCACACCAAACCCTCACTGAACAGTGTTCCAACCGGCCTGGCACCTCGAAGCGGGAGCCAGCATGCACGTAAAGGCCTCAGCTGGAAGGGCAAAGCGCGGCCGATGATGAACAAAAGCACTTGCAAAAAGAGAAATTGGCGCATGGTGATGGTCATGAGCTGGTCATGAAGGGGAAGATGGAGAGGAAGGTGCTGACGGTGATGGTGATGGTGATGGTGATGGTGATGGTGATGGTGATGGTGATGGTGATGGTGATGGTGATGGTGATGGTGATGGTGATGGTGATGGTGATGGTGATGGTGATGGTGATGGTGGTGATGATGATGATGATGATGATAATGATGAGAAAATAGTAATAATAATGATGATGAGACTGCTCATGATGAGCGCTTGATGTTTAAAACCGTTGTTGGGCCATCCGTTGGCGAATGCTACCCGCAAGTTCACTGCCTGGCCTTCCCTTGTTGCACACCTACTTGCAAAAGGCACCTCTGAAGGAGGACATGTTCGTACATGGAATCAACATCAAGAAACCACACGAATAAGTTTCCCGAATGGCCACTTGAAGTCCATGCGCACGGGACGTAGACGGGAGCAAGTCCCCAAGGTCGGAATCGATGACAGCCGCGCTTGAGGAAGGCTCTCAGGAAAACATTGTCTGTTTTCGGCGCGTTGGGCATGCAGCTTGGCTAGGTGTCGGTTTGCTCGGTCAACGCAGAGGCTCATCAGACATAGCTCAACGTTGAAAACATAACTTGTTCACAGTTTTCGTGATCGAGGATGGCTTTGGAGCTGCCGGATAGTGCAAATCACTCTTGATTTCGTGAGACAGTAGCACTTCCCTGCGACCCCAGATCTTCCACACAGACGAAACCCTGCGTTGTTGAGTCAATTACAGAGGCACTGCCCCTCTGCCAAAGGTAGATTGCCAAAACCTCCGAGAATAGACTGCCAAAAGCAGATTTCCAAAAATAGGCTGTGCGAACCGTCAAACTGCTGCAGAGCAGTCAACAAGAACATCGAGATTGAATGGGTGCGGGAGCATGTGTGGCAATGTATGGTTCGATGCTGGTTGAGCCAGGTTTTGCGAAATGTCTACTATCCGCTGGGCTCCTGAGTTTGCGGGTTGGGGGGTGATTTCACGGATTCGGATGTTAAAGCAAAGCGAAGAGAAACTGAGCGAAAGAGCGAGAAGAGAGAGAGAGAGAGAGAGAGACAGAGAAAGAGAGAGAAAGAGAGCGAAAGAGAGAGAGCGAGAGCGAGAGAGAGAGAGAGAGACAGAGAAAGAGACAGAGAAAGAGAGAGAAAGAGAGAGTCCTGGTCGACCAGAAGCAAACCCCAGCAAAACCGCTGCGCACGGCCCAAGCCCTGCTTTGCTGGGGACCCGGGCCCAAGCGAGCGGTGAGGCCCTGCTTGTCAATCGAGGCAATCTTCATGCCTCTCGGGGATCTTTTGGTACGCTTTGCTTAGATTCAGGTTCCTAAAACTCCTGGTTTAGGGTTTAGGGTTTAGGGTTAGGTTTTACGGTTTAGGGTTTAGGGTTTAGGGTTTAGGGTTTAGGGTTTAGGGTTTAGGGTTTAGGGTTTAGGGTTTAGGGTTTAGGGTTTAGGGTTTAGGGTTTAGGGTTTAGGGTTTTCTTTTTTTTTTGTGTTTAGGGTTTAGGGTTTAGGGTTTAGGGTTTAGGGTTTAGGGTTTAGGGTTTAGGGTTTAGGGTTTAGGGTTTAGGGTTTAGGGTTTAGGGTTCCAAGAATCGATGCGCAAGGTTCTGCCGGGTTGCCGTTCTCAAGCTTGGAGAACTCGAACTTCGGCGGGGTCAAAACCTGTCCCCACGAGACATTGAAATCTCTGCAGGCTCCAACCTCAAACGCAGCCCAAAAAAAAGTGCCCCCCAAACCCGATCCCGAAACCCGCCCCCATGAAAACCTCTGCCGAACCAAGGGGGGGTTAGGTGGGGTCGGAAGCCTGAAGCAGAAATTTGATCCTTCAACTCTCAGTCCCTCGGCTTAGGGTCCCTCAGCAAGCTACAATAAGGACGGGCTGTTTGTTCGGGGGGGGGGGTCAAATTTAGGGGGGAAGGGATTAGTGATGGACACCCATGAAAAGAAAACAGATGTTAGCTCCCAAGCCCAGAAACAGGCGCAGGCGGGTCCAACAAAATGCTCCTGTCCAGCGTGGTGCCTGTGCCATGAGGGCTTGTGCCTAGCTGATGCCACTCCTGATCCGGGCTCCGCTGATGCCATCTCCCCAGTGCTGACTTCGATTGCCCCGTTTCTCTGCCTAAGCCTTGCAGCTCAAAACCTGGCTTCCTCCCCCAAGCGGAGCTCCCTTCAGTGCCTTGGTAAGGGTTGGGCTCATGCTCCTTGAACTCATAGAAGCTGTAATCCGGCAACTCCATCATGACCTGTGCGAAAAACTCCCAAAACCCTGGGTGGCATGTGCAACTTCAGCGCATGGGATGGCCGGAGCCATGTCCAAGCCCCCCAGCCCTACTGCCACTCCAACTCGCATACTTCTGCTCTCAGACTCCTGCGCCCTCTTCGCAGACTCTTGCGAAAACAAAAATCCTGGCCACCACATTCTCTCACCCTGAAATCGGGCTGGCAGGACTGCGCACGGAAGTGGCAGGAACTAACGCATACGTAAACCCAAGCGTGCCGAAACATCCATGAAAAGGAAATCCTACGAGAAACAAAATGAAGATCAAGCATTTTTGGAACCATCTGCTTCCGATGATGCTGAGCAACGGTTGTAAACATGTCCAAGAACCGGCATGGTTTCGGATCAATCGTGTAGCGTTTGGGAAGGAAGTGGCTTGCCTTCTCCACGTCCTCCTTGACAAATTTGACCTCCAAGCAAGATCTCTCAATCAACCCTCGACCTTGCAGCCTGCCCCTCCCTGTCTCCATCACTTGCACAGATCCTCGACAGCCTCGACGCGTGCTCCCTAAAACCTGCCCTCTTTCCCAGACGACAGACAGCCATGAATTGTCATGGACCACACACTTCCAAGAATCATAGATGGATCCAACTCATTCATCAACAACATGGGTCACAACGATACAGATATGCGCGGATGTCTGAGAAACCAAGATGGCATCTCGGAGTTTAGGTTTCAAGGCCTGGATTCGTAACGTTAGGCTCTCCTGCGCCGAACCCCGAAAAGAAATCAGGGTCCTGAAACTTGTTGGATCCAGGCTTGAAACTTCATTTGGGACTTCGGCACCAGTGGAACGGGAGAAAAGAGCCCCTGATGCTTCCGATACAAGCTTCAGCCCTAATTACCCACGATGGCATACTGCAACCCCTTTCGCGAACCTCATTGAACGACACAGCAGGCACCGCGGCCGCATAGCGGCATGCCAGGAGGGTGGACCTGCAAACGAAAAAAGGGCGGAACATATGGGGCTCTGAAAGTTTGGGGGATAGGGAGGGCCACAGTCTAGCAGAGTTCATTGTTCATGGATTTTGCTTCCTATGGTTCAAAAATACTCGAAATCGATGGGCCGATTCTTTGCTCGGAAACGAAACCGCTGGCGCCGTGAAGTCCTGCACATGGCACTGGCACCACTGATGCCGTGGCTGCGGTGATCTTGGAAACGTCTCTGACGCTGCGTTTGCACGTCGGGTGCTTTTTGCTGAGCAGCAGCAACACGACTAAAAGACCAAGGGGCCGGCTAAGTGTGGCGCCCACAGACCCCGCTTCAGACTTTGCTGTTTTGCGACTTGGGGCTTCGAATCACCGCAGCCACGCTTCACAGCAACCACAAACACGACATTTTAAGCATGAGAAGGAAGCCAGCCGAAGCCTACAGCCGCCCGAGAATTGAAACTTCAGAGGAATTGTTGCACCCCCGTACAGTGCAACACGGCCTCATGACCTCACTGCAACGCCTTCTGCCCAAGAGCCAAACGCCTCGCTACTCTTACGTCTCACTAGCCATACCTGTGCTGCAACCACTCCCGACACAAGTCCAGAGGTAAAACACAACAACGTCTCGAGAAGATGCAGCGCCGTACGGCCCGTGGTCTTTGAGTCTTTTTGCACTTTGAAGGCGAGAAAGTCAGGATCTTCGCACCTTTGATCATCCTTGCATCGGCGCCTTCACTTCCGCGCGCTTCAGAAATGGCACGCTTTTTTCCCAGTAAGAGAAGAGTGTGTGTTGAGAAGCGGGTTGAGAAAGAGCTTCTCAGCCTGGGGGCCGCCCCTCAACCCCCAAAAGAGAAGGGTTTAGGGTTTAGGGTTTAGGGTTTAGGGTTTAGGGTTTAGGGTTTAGGGTTTAGGGTTTAGGGTTAGAACAAGCGACAACATCCGACGGGATGTTGGGCGGGTCCCTTGTTGAGGGCTCAGAAAATGCATAGTCGGTTGCCCTTTTGTTGCACCGGATCACGCAATCCATTGATTTCCGAAGCGTGTTAGAGAAGCTTCACAAGCCTTCACAAACCTTCACACAAGCCTTCACAAACATTCACAATGAATGAACCCATCCTTGCCTTTGCCCGAAGGCCCTCTTTCCCAAGGTGGAGAGCATCGCGGTTGCGGGACCTGCAAGTCCGAAGGAAACCTTCCTTACCCGTTACACACCACACTGGTGCCCGCGAATGTCCTAGAATTCAACTGGCAAAGAATAGTACATCTGTGACATACACTGGATGTGGCAATGCTACTTAACAGGCTGGCTGTGGCAGGTATAAAACGTGAACTAAATCCACATATGACATGAACGCTCAGTTTGCGTAACTGCGTTGCCCTTCTTAAAGAAACACACGCCGTCCTTTCAGACGTCCCAGCTGAGGCCCTGACAGGGCCGTACAGTGCAGCGGGCGTGGGGAGGCCAGCTGAACCGACGCAATCCGATCAGCGAAGGGGTTACAAGGTTTAGGGACTTGTTGGGGTGTTTGTACGGTGTAGTAAGTTTTTGCCGTTGAGATGTTTCTCAAAACTCTCTTGGGGCGTTGAGAGGCACCCTTTGCTTTGTCAAGGGTTGGTCAAGAACAGGAACTACAAACTTATTCATACAGATATATACACACGCACACATTTTTGGAAGCCGACACATTCACGCACAGATACGCCCATGTACGAGAGCCGTTAGTCCTGCCGAAAAAACATTCTCTCCCAAAAGATCCAGGGCAAGTTAGACAAGGGGGGTATATCACTCTTCTCACGATCAAGGTTGAGGCACTTTCTCTCCCATATAAAATTAAATTTAATGCACTTCTTAGCCTTAGGGCTATGACATCAGAGGCTTCAACTCAAACATCGGTCTTCAAGTTCGCAATGGAACAAACAGTATCATGCTCTTAAGTACATCAGCATCCCCAAATTAAGAATACGTAGCTGAGGTCAAATACATTCCCTACCACATTCCACCAAGTGAGGCATCGGCATCCCCAAACTGTTATAAACATAATTGGAAGTCCATTGTACATTCCTTACCACATTCAACAATTGACAGGCACGTGGACCAAAACAGTCGCGTGTGTGCGGCTTCCTCTATCCAAAAGCTGACGGGCACTGAGGCTGGTATATGTGATGAACATAATCGGACGAATTGCATTGATAAACTGCCGTTTAGTTTGAAATCTTGCCATGACGTGCGGCTCACGATGCAAACTCGTCTTTCACTTGAGCGCCGAAGCTCATTCGGCGCCTCGGTTCATTGTTGGTCAATATTACCGGCCAGTAAGACTTACACGATTTCAGAAAGATACTACGCCTACACTTCTCAATCAAACTAGTTAAACTACTTGCGTGTCTACGGTTAAGAATCACTAGCTAACATACTAAACTAACCCTCCCCATGAGCCATGGGTAGATAACGAGGAGGGTACACATACACAAACACAAACACAAAAACGTACACATACACACATATATATATATATATACAGAAACATATACACAAACCAAGACATACGCATAAACACATATATGTATATATACGCATGCTCCCGCATTAGCAGGCCTACATGGCCCGAAGAAGCCCCTTGAAACCTCCAGGAGCCTCAAGCAGACCAAAAAACAAAACACCCCCCTCCCCCCAAAGCGCCAAAAGGGCACCCCCACTTTTTCTGCGGTCTTGCAAGCACCCCTCTTGTGCTATGGCTTTAGGTTTCCATATACAGAGGGAACATCTCCCGACTCCGAAAGTTGTGGGGCTGAGGTCTTCAAGCTTGAGGGTTCATCTAAGGTCTCAATGGCGGCGCTTGATAAGTATTCCCCCCTGCCACGGAATGGTATGCTATGAAAGGGAAGGGCCCGGGAGGGATATTGTGGGCTAAGGCTCCGGTCTACCCGTTTCAGGTGCACGTGCCGGGCGCATCCACGACACTAGTGCACCACTGGCTTCAGAGGTGCAGCTCTGATGTTCCTGGACGGGGCACACGAGATCCGGCTTTCGTGGCATTGTCACTCGGGCTTTGGGTTTTTTACTGACCCCTTTGGACCCAGCATGCTAGGCGCTAGGCCCTTAAGTGATGATACCTGCATGCGCAAGAAAACGAGCGACTGGAGACGCCAGGCTGAGGTGTTGAATGTCAAACTGCCACACTTTGCCATGGAGCTCGTCTGCTGCTGACGGAGAGCTCAAGGGCTACTCAGCTTTCGCGACTGCTGCTGGTGGCATCGTTAGAATATTAAGGTTCAAACGTGTTCCGGAAATGCCCAACGTGCCCTTTCATGATGATCAGTGCGGTGTCGGTTTACTTTTTCCAGGATGCATTGCAAGATCCCCAAGCTCTTGAGACCTAACCGACCTACTGTTCCGTTGCCTAAGGTTTCGAATGGTTTCGTGCGAACCATCGTGAAAGAAGGTGAAACCTCACACACCGGAGTCCCGAAACTCTCCGAAACTCTGTCCGACTGTAACGTGACAGGAGCACGAGAGGTCGATGCGAGAGTCAATCTCTTCGTCGACTTCTCCCACGACGGCCTGGTCCAGTGCCACTGGATCTGGACAGCGATCGTTGGAGCTCCGGAGCACGTTTCTGGGGGCGCTTTGAAGGAACCTCGCGCCACCTCACGCCTGAGCCTCATCCCCAAGCAACCAACCCTTTGGAAGGATGCCCGAAGCCACGTGAACATCATGTGTCCCTTGAAACCCTGTGGAAGCGCCAGGTTGTCTCCGCGGATGACGTACAACCCGAGGACGACCTTCGGCACTAGACGTCTTCTGAGGCCTTGAGGTCCTGAGGCCTGAGGCTTACAGTCTATGTAGACTCTCTACATGCAAGGCTCTGTTTCAAGCCTAGGCAGATTAGATACCGCTTACCACATAGGTATCCTATAATGTTGCCCCCTTCAATCGAACACTGCTGCCCCAACATGAAACCCCACATCGACTTCACCTGGGGACCTGAGGGAGTCTAGGATGTAAAAGTTGCAGGTTTTTTCCTTGG